GCTGCCCAGCCACCCAGGGCTACCTGAGGCTCAGGTAACCAGGGCTGGCCAAGGTTTACGCTGCCGGCAGTGATAGCAGCAGGGGTGTGATGGGGCGTTGCCTTCCCCTGATGGCCAGTCACCTCCTGCTCCTGAGTGCTCCCAGTCTGTGAGAGGGGGCAGGACAGGCTGAGGAACGCCCCTAAACCATCAACAAAATGAAAAGAGAACCTACTGAGTGGGAGAAGATGTCTGCCAATGACATATCCAATAAGGGGTTAATATCCAAATTTTATAAAGAACTCATACAACTCAACACCAAAAGAACAAAAAATCCAATTGAAAACTGGGCAGAGAATTTGAAGACATTTCCCCAAAGAGGACCTACAGATGGCCAACAGACATATGAAAAGATGCTTACTATCACTAAATACCAGATAAGTGCAAATTAAAACCACACTGAGATGTCACCTGACACCTGTCAGAATGACTATCACCAATAAATCAACAAACATTGGCAGATGTAAAGAAAAGGCAAACCTTGTGCCCTGTTGGTTGGATTGCAAACTGGTGCAAGCACTATAATAAACTGTGTGGGGGTTCCTCAAAAAATTGACTGTATACTTCCAACGTGGGCAGTTTGAGGGGGAGGAGGGAAAATTGGAATCAAACTTTAAAATCCTTTTAGTATGTTTACTTATTGAATAATAACATAGATAAAGCAATTCTGAACGAATTTTTAAATGCATTATATTGTAAAATTGAGCAAGTGAGGAATGTGTTTATGTCACTGGAGTCAGTGATTTACTGAGAAAGAAGACACAATTACTAAAATGAAAAAGACCCAACAGAACCTTGTGGAGATGAATTGGAATTGGAAGTATGCACTGATGTGTATTTATTTGTGTACGTAAATAAATTATTATTCTCTAACTCTGTTTTCTGAACAGGCCACAAAGTAAGTACACCTTGCAGCAAAAAGCACGTAGTACAAAGATATTGATCTCTGTTATGAGTGATTCTCCATTACAAGGTACCAGAGCTCTACCAAAACAAAACAAAAAAGGGCTAGGGGAGGGCTGATGATTCTAGGTTTGAATTAGGACAAATATAATGTGTTCACTAAGTGATGGGAGCATGTCACAAAAACGTAAGCTCCAGCTTGAAGTTGTTCCATGGCCGAATCTGGGGCAGTTTGAGTGCCAAGTGATTAAGTATAGCAGTGAATTACAAACCATTAGGAAAATAAGAATGCATGTGTTCATAGCAATAATGAATACATGGTGGAGAAGGGAGAGCTCTTGCTTATAGCATAACTCTGAGCACTGATTCATAAATGCAGAGGACCTATGGAAGTTGTAATCATCACAGTAAAGTGTGAGAGCAGGCAAGAACAATCCATTTTCCCTTTTCATAACAAATGCCATGTCCAATCAGATAAATTTGTCTCAAGTTTAACTCACTCAAAAAGGACAAGAAGAAAGAGGGAACGAAAGAATTCAGGTCTACTTGTCATCTCTAATCAAAATCCAAGATCTTATTTACTAGTAAAGTAAATGCATTCTAATAGCAGACTCACCGCACATAGAAACATACCTTCATTACAAAGGATGAAATAAATGAAATCTCAAATAAATGTATAAATTTGTAAATGCATGTATAAATGTACCACTTATACCCAATGCTGTGTTTTGCGAACAAATGATCTTCCCATCTCATTTCCCACAGGCAGAAAAAAATTGATAAAACCATTTAAGCTAATCTGTTATAAGTATAATCAGCTGTTATACTGAAATGTTTAGCACAGTGTTATAGATTTTCAAAAGATAAAGTGATCTGAAATCAAGATTGTCATAATCTTCAATTTCACTGTAGACTTCTTAAATAAATGCAAGTTAAAGTATCAGAATGGAGGACCTCACAAAAAACTATTTTCAACAAAAAGAGAAAACAGTATTATAAACAAAGGAAATTCTAAATTCTTTTTTAAGGCAGTTTTGCCTTATATATAAATTTAAAATTATCAGAATAAAAAAATGTTTTAAACTGTGTTTTATTCGGTAATAAACCACTGTTTAGTAACACAAAAGTAAAATTTCTTTCTAGTCTGTTTTTCAGAAAAGTCTTATTTTGCATTGTTGAAATTATTTGGCCCGTTCAAGAAAATGTATTTTCTCTTTCAAATCATTCTGTATAAAGATTAGATACAAATGTTAAAAACCTTCAGAAGTTTTCTGCATGGCTTAATTAAAAAGACAACTTCAAAGTATTTCTGTGTCTAAGCAAAGAGATAATCATTCTCTTTTCTCACTAAGCAAACTAAGCAAACAGCCAGGCCTTTTTAGGAAACAAATTTAGGCTGAATTATGTAGTAGGGAGTTTGAAAGGGTAAATATTGTCATTACATGTCACCTAAAATAATGATTATCATTTATATGAATGATCACATTACATTATAAATTCCACTTTAAATTATATAATTCATGTTTCTAAGTGTTAAAATATGGCATTTCATTTTTTTCTACAGATTTAAATATTTGGATATATATGAATATAAACCTTATAATGAGATATAATTTTTCTACTCAGAAACTAAAAAAGGAGGGAATATATCTAATTGCACAATTTTGAAATATGACAGATTATTTAAAACAGCTGAGAATCTGATAAACACATTTGTGTTTTTATCAGAAATTATGAAATTTATACACAAGGTAAAACAATTGCTTTTCCTTTGTTTTTCTTCTAAAGAAACCCATAAAAATAAGATCATATAATATTAACAAAAATATATTGAAGTACATCAGTATCAATATCGATGCCATATATCCAAGGCAACTTATCATAAAAACCAATAAAAATTCAGACATGAAGGTATGACAAGTCCTCAAATAGTTTAGGAGGTACAGGTTCTAAAATTACAAGACTGTGTAGACTTCAGAATCCAATAACAGTAAGTTTAAGAAAACTAAAAAGAGTAGATTTTTATTTTTTAATGTGTAAAAGCATTGGAGAGCAAAAAAGCGAAAATATTACCAAGCCAGGATGCGGAGGACGGGATCCCAGGTTATTGGCAGGTCCCTTTGTCCCTGATTATGAATGGAAATAGTATTTCGCAGGAAAAAGAACTAGCATCTAGGCCCACCAAAGGTTGGTGAGCTAAGCAACAAAGACTAAACTCAGGAGAAAGGACATAGAAAGTCCTTCAAGGACTAAACTTAGGAGTAAGGACACAGAAAGTCCTTCCAGAGACTGAAGCTCTAACTTGAATCATCCTTATATTACTACTGCCCTCAGGCACACAGCAGAATTCAATTCCCTTCGGAAAAAGATTCCATTCAAGGTCTCAAACTATCTGTAAATAAATTTTGCAAATACAGTATCCAGTACAAAAATAAAAAATAACCAGGGCTGGGAACTGATAATAAAACAAGAACAGGAGCCAGCAGAAACAAAGGCTCATGTAAATAAAGCCATGGGAATTTAGATATTAGCTGGGGAAAGACACGGGCTTTGAAATAACTTTTTTATATGGAAGGAGATAATGAACAAGCTTAAAAACCTGACTAAAAAACTGGAAACCATAAAAGACAATTAGAAACTATAATAAACTTAAGACTTTAGTTTTTTAAAAAAGGAACACTAATAAAAACAATAAAATGAAATTGCAATAACCAAAATTATTGCTATTATAGAGGGCACACGTTGGTCTTCCTAAAATGAAAAAGGCATTGTTATCATCCTCTGCCTTCCGGCACAACCAAAAACAAGGCTATATATAACATAAATAGATTAAAATAGGTAAAAATCTCAGATATTGCTGACAAAAGGTAAAGGTGGAAAAAAATAGCTCCTCAAAAGTAAACAATATTCATAGAAAATACTACTTCACACGTATATTTATAGTAGAGTTCATATTTTCATTAAATTTGCTTTTAGTTGCCATTTTGAGTTTCCACTGTGTTTCAGGCCAGGGCCAGAATGAGAACTTCCATTATTCTGGCAGGTGAATAATTTGGTGCCCCTTTAAATGAACATTTGGATCCCAATATCAAAACCCGCCCACAAAACACACTCTTATACCATAAGAAACACATTCTTAAAAATTTCTTCAATTTTTCCAGGAGCAGCTGGTGGGTGTCATGGGGAAAAATAAAACCTCTGAAAATGGTGTGAACTCCACCGTTTCTGTGGCCGTCAGGAGCTTCACCCTCTGTCGAGAGCACACGTGAGCACTAATTTATTAGCCACCTCAGCTGAACTCTTAAGATTCCAGTTATTTCATTCTGGATAAGCTAGTCCTCAAGTCCCATCTCTCTCTGAACTCTTGTTTCTCTTTAGATTTTAAGCCATCTGGTTACCTTGTGATCTCAATTCTTCCAATGCTCTCATGAAAATTCATAAATTTGTCACGTGCCAAGCTTTTGTTTCTTTCATTGCAAAGGCAGAAGTGAAGCTCTTTCCAGCTCTCTACATCCTTGAGCAAAACTGGAAATTCTATAACCATGTTCATTCTTGATTTTGCTTCACTGTTTACGATATTCTCTACCCAGAACAACGGCACTCCTCCCTCAGGTTCCAGCTCATATGTCCTCTACTCAGAGTCCCCTTATCCCCAGATGATGAATTATTCCCTCCCTTTTCAGTATGCCTTCAATCCTTTTTTCATTCCATTTCATTAAATAAACTTATTGAACACTGGGATTGTGCTATTGATGCAATGGTCCCCAAAGAATTTCACTGCAATAAAGAATACAAGCAAATACAAAGATGATGCAAGGGACAAATTAACAAATAGGAGGAGAACCAATTTCAGTTTGGAGAGGTTATAAAAAATACACAAGAATATGTGATGTCCGATTACATACTTAAAGCTGAACAGAAATTCTGAGAAGAGGGAAGGGTTGATAAGCATTTCGAATCACTAATGTACGAAATTAGTATATTTTGGCTTGTGTCTCCACTGCTAGCTTGAAAAATACTTTAAGCAAAAACCCTGTGTTATTAATCTTCATTAATAGTGCCAAGCACTCATTTAATCATTGTTTGCTGAGATGAATAACTAGCTTTGCTTTCTAACAAGAGCATTTTGTAAGCACGCGATAGGAAATAACTGCTTTAGGGAATAATGGCCCTATCTTTCATTGTCCCACACTCAAAAGCTAAATAAATAAAACAAAAAATTAATGAATGTAATTGTATCTACAAAATACTCTTTAAAAATCAGTAGTCCAATTTTCCCTCTGCTTATAAAAAATCATGCATAAAGAACTAGGGTAAATGTAATCCCATCATTCAGAACTATATAATTTACTTTTTAGTATTTCACACATATGCCAAACCCTGTAACTCCGTATATCTAAACTTATAAATCCATAAGTTCAATGAATTAAAATGCTGCTCTCTCATCTGGAGAAAAAATAATGTTATTAAAGTGCTACATCGCATCAGAGATAATAATTATTGTGGATGGCTACATCATTGATGCAGAAGTGCAGTACAAATTGAAAATGTCAGTGCTCATCTTCATCATGGGATCTCAGAACAAAAATAGAACACTTGTTGCTTATGATCAGGACCTGTTACATAATTCATGGCAGAGGGGGCTGAGAGGAAATCAAAGAGTAATGTAAAATGGAAATGCAGGACTCTTATTAAAAATTTATTCAGAATTTTGATATGGCCTGGCCAGCATGGCTCTGTGGTTGAGTGTCAATCTATGAACCAGGAGGTCACAGGTTAGATTCCCAGTGAGGTAACATGCCCTGGTTGCAGACTCAATCCCCGATAGGAGGTGTGCAGGAGGCAGTCAATCTGAAAGGACAGAACAGGACTGATAGCTGTGTCCTTAACCCCTCTTCCAAGAAAAAGCCACAGAATGTATCAGTTACTCAGCCTGCCCTCATCTCGGCCAATGGGAAAGTGGGGGAAACCAGCCCAAGGCCGAAAGTATGCTAGCCACCCCCGTCTTTGTGCAACCAGACCCTAGCTGCACCCTGCCCTTGCATCACTAGCCCCCGGCCCTCACTCAACCAACTGGAATCGGCCAAATCAGTGGTCAGACTGTGCCCCCACCCCCTGACCCCAAGCCCTATAAATTCTTTGTTCTCTTGGAACTCCAGGCTCGCTCTCTCTCTTTCTCTCTCTCTCTCTCTCTCTCTCTCACCCTATCGCTGAGTCAGTAGGGGAGACAGAGGGACCAAGCCCCAGGCTTGAATAAAGACTCTATGCTTTTGCATCAGACTCGGTACTCCCTAGTGATGTCCTTTGGGGGATCTTGAAATCTGGGCATAACAAATCCATGATTCTCTCTCTCCCTCTTCTCCTTGCCTCTCTGAAATTAATAAAAATATATTTAAAACAAAAAGATTTCAATATGGAACAGAACATTAAAGCAAGCATGACGCCCTTGGGAGCATGAAACCCTGTGCAAATGCCGAGGCCACATGCCCTGATGTGGGCTCTGCTTCTAACAGGCAGCGGTGAAGTGCCTAAGGCACCCTTCCCTTCTTTCCGAGAGCACAGGACTCTGATTTCATCCCACTGGTAATGAGACCAAAATCGCCTTCCTCACTAAGAACGCCCCTACAATCTTATGCTCTGGCCTCATTTTTAAGCTTAGAGATGATGGAGAAGAAATAAAATTGGTTCTGCTCATCTTCTCAGAATTTGAAAACCTACGATAGCTCAGTAACTAGTCAAAGACATAATCATCTAACTTGAAATGTTTAGGATAATTCTACAGCTAAAAATATATTTCTTCTCAATAAAAAAAATAATTATTTTCTTTGGTTAGACTTCTTTGGATATAATTTTTTATATAGTCACAGTTTTAGAAAATCTTTTATTAATGTTTTATAACTATATTATAGTTGGCATTTATGGTTTGTGTCAAATATAGTGCATTTATAATATAAACAAGTATTTGCATATATACAATGCAAAACTATAAAAACACTTTTAATATATGAATATATGAATACAGATAAAAAGGGAAAACATTCAGATAACACGAAACAATTGCTTCTTAAAAGTTATCTGGGGAGGGGAATAAATCTTGAGAAAACAAATTATAAAAGCACAATAACCATTCATAAAACTACTGGGAGTACAGTAACAACAAAAGTTTCTGTCTACTGACATAGAGGGGAAAAGATGAGTATAAGAAACCACTTGAAAGGTTTAAAGGATTACAAATATCAGGACTAATAATAAAAGATTCAAAAGAAATAAAGGCATAAAAACATTGGATTTTAATTACTTAATGAGATACAAAGGACAATTATAAAGATGGCAATTCAGATTTTACATATAACATGAGTTTTCCAGAAAAAAAATAAGAATGTTTCTTCTTTTTAGAGAAATACAAAATACAAACTTAGTCTATGGACTCTGTTTTAAAGCCTCCACAAAACTGTCATTTTAAAAGGCTTACCTTTTTATTAGAATTGATAGAACCCAAGTAAACATAGCTTACAATAATACTGGTTACTTAACTACCACAACACTAAACTTAAAAAGGGAAAAACCTACAAAAATTAGTTCTTCAGCACAAACTCAACCCACAAAAGTTCCAAACAATCATTTTTACTTACAATTGGCACTGATCACCCTTGATCCCTTTGGTTGTGCAGAAACATTTTCCTGTGTGCATGTGACAGACGTTTGCATGGCCGCTGCATGTACAAGCTGCAAAGTCAAAACCAAAATGAATATTCTCCATCACAAATGTGCATCACACTTCAGGGGAGGTTTCATTACCTTATTTTCATACCATGGATTTTCCCTTGCCATCCAAACACGAGGGGTTACTATAGAAGTTATTTTTAAGTAAAGGGAAGTAAAGTCACTTATTTAAAATTTTTGTGAAACTCTTTCAAGTCCGTGGGATATATGGATCTGAGTATTTTTCTCATTCTTCTTTGGGCTTCTTTCCACTTCTACTTGGGATATCTACTCATGAAATGGGTCTCAAATAACACAAGAGCTTTGGAGTCAAGCAGCCTGGCTTCAAAATGTGCATCCGCAATCCCTAGAGATGTGCGTTGGGAAATGCAATTGTAACCTCTCTCGGCTTAGTCACTTCATCTGCAAAAGGAACTAATGACACTGGCCCCCAGGATTAATGTGAGAATCAAATGAGGGAATGTATTTTAAAATACCTAACACATATCCAGCACTTAATAAATGTATTATGTCCACTATTCTTTCTGCAACAAAAATATAGTAATATGTTGTATAAAAAAGCATGTCTACTTACTTGCCCCCAATATCATCCTTTTACACTTCTGAGATCATTCCCCATGATCATTCCCCATTTTAGCTTTCCATAACTAATTGAAACATAACATAGCTATGTAAGAGTTCAACACAGTGGATTTGGTTCATATGAACTTATTTCATTTCCTTACTTTGAATTTCTTGTTCAAGAGCAGTGTTTCAGTCATTTAGAACACAAACCTCACACTTTATTGTGCCCAATATCCAAAGAATTGGAAGGTTCTAGTTTCTACATGTCCCCTCCTTTTCATCATGACAGCAGCATTCAAATACTGTCACCCATGTTCTCTTACTGACACCAATGCTATCACATATCTGATCTCTCCACTGTTAGTATTTCTAGGCTCCAAATCATCCCGCCGTCCAGAGACATATTCTATCTCTGGTGACCACGTCACTGCCCTTTTAAAATCCTTTAATGAGAAATACTGTGTTGCTGGGCAAGTTGAACCATCCTATTGACAAAAATGAAGTAATGTGGTCTTATCCTGGTTCACATGCAAATATAAAAATAAGCTGAATCATTGGCTTTGATTAAAGTATAAAGTATTGCCCTAACCGGTTTGGCTCAGTGGATAGAGCGTCGGCCTCCGAACTGAAGGGTCCCAGGTTCAATTCTGGTCAAGGGCATGTACCTTGGTTGCGGGCACATCCCCAGGAGGGAGTGTGCAGGAGACAGCTGATCAATGTTCCTCTCTCATCAATGTTTCTAACTCTCTATCCTTCTCCCTTCCTCTCTGTAAAAACTCAATAAAATACATTTTAAAAAATAAAATAAAGTGAACACTAAGTTTCTTGCTAATTGTTTCAAATTATTTATTTTTAAAAATCGACACTATAAATACACATGCCCCTACACACTGAAAAATAAGTTCATATTAGGTAGATTTTTAAGAACCTGTTTTCTTTTTCTAGAAGAAATTTTTACATAAAAGTGAATTTTTCTTCATTATGAATATTTAAATAAATCAGCATAATTTTTTCCTTTAGAATTATAGAATTAACTATGGAAACACAACGTGTGAGAATGACAGAAATAAATTACAAGGTATAGAAATGCAAGGAAGGAAAAAAACGATCATCAAGCAATAGCAGGACATGGACATGGAGATATACTGGTACATGCATGCAACTTCATAAGCAGTGAATGAATGTTCCATGATCTCTCTTCATGTTAACTTGCAGAGTTTCATATTAATACTGCCTTGTAATTGGAGAGCATTATGCTAAGCGAAATAAGCCAGTCAGAGAAAGATAAATATCACATGATATTTATCTCACTCATTTGTGGAATATAATGAACAACATAAACTGATGAACAAAAACAGATCCAGAGACAGAGAAGCATTGATCAGACCATCAAACCTCAGAAGGAAGGTAGGAGAGGTGGGGGTATAGAGGGATAGATCAACCAAAGGACTTGTATGCATTCATATAAGCCTAACCAATGGACACAGACAACAGGGGGGTGACGGTTAGAGTGGGGGGGTGAGGGGCAAAAG